ACAACACAACCGACCGAAGCACTGGCGCGCGCGCGACTGAAGCGTTCCGACACACACGGCACATGTATACTTGCACAAACTAGTTTGCGCAGGTATACAGATCGTAGTTTTGATCTGCCTACCAGACATGTGCAAGTCAGGAAACTTGTGCATGTTTTGTCACACACACGCTCCGGTATACTTGCACAAGTCTTCAGTTTCGGTATACCGTTCAGGTATACCGGTACGTATGTGGCCACCATAACCTAACCTAACCTAGTGTGTATGGTTGTATTACCTAATGTAAAACAGGTAAAATCCAGTGTGAATGTAAAGGAGGAATATGGGCCTTGTAGACACCACAGTATTCTTAGGGATTACTTTAGATTCTAAGCTTCAATGGGGCCCACATATTGATAAATTGTCAAATAGACTTAGTTCTGCAGCATATGCCGTAATGAAGATATGCCAGTTAACGGATGTAGATACGGCCAGATTAGTATACTTTAGTTATTTCCATAGTGTAATGTCGTACGGAATTTTATTGTGGGGAAACGCCGCCGACATTCAAACTATTTTTGTGCTGCAGAAGAGAGCTTTTCGATCAATTTATAATCTTAAAGTTAAGGATTCCTTAAGAGATAGGTTTAAAGAATTTGGTATAATGACGGTCGCATCACAATACATTTACGAAAATTTATTACTTGTAAGAAAAAATATTAATTTGTTTCTTAAAAACAGTGATGTTCACACACTTAATACAAGAAACAAAAATAAACTAACTTTACCTGCTACTAGGCTTCACAAAATCAATAATTAATTTAAAGGTCTTTGTGTTCGCTTATACAATAAAGTCCCAAGCAATATCCAAGAGTTAAGCATAAATAAATTCAAAGATAGTATAAAAAAAGTACTTATTAAAAAAGCTTATTACAAAGTGTCTGAATATATTACAGACAAAAATGCTTGGGTTTGAACTGTTCCAATCATTCCAACTGGTGTTCTATATTAAATAAATCATGATTGTATTGACGTTGTAACAACATAATGATTTGTAAATGTTGTTAAGTACATTATTCTTTTAATATTGTGGAGTTTTATTCGCTCGTTTTTCTCTGCAGCTAAAAAATATGTCCAATAACGAATGGTAGGGAAAAAAATGTTTGGACGATTCAAAAGTGTTGTACTATACATCCAATTTGAATAAAGATATATTGATTTCTGATTTCTGATTTCTGTGAAGTATTACCACTTGGGCCCTGGAAGTACAGTTTAGCCCAAAAAATGGGTAAACAGGTATGTAATAGATTTTTTATAAAAGAAAGATTTGTACATACTGTGACTAAACACATGTTGCACGTGCCCCCACCGGAACCCGGGACCTCGAGTCGGTGACACCATGAAACCCGGCGTTCAAACCACTCGGCCACGGAGATCGTCGTGACGTCGTGGAATGACGCCGCTTAGAGCATATATGACGCCGATAAAGTGTTAAAAAATATAGATGGAAAATATTTTTACGGTAAATGCCCTACATGGCAATTGGGGATGAATCAATCAATTAAACCGTTGGTTAACTTGGAAAATATTAATAAAAACAAATGATAAACGTCAAATCCTTCAACCAACTTAGGGATTGGCTTGTTGTAATGTGGAACCTGTTTCATCAGTTACTAGTGTTCCAAAATACTTCTAAGGCTTTTCAATGAATTGTATCAAAAGTAAAAACCACTACAGCTAAGGCGAAGTAACACCAGACAACAGTATCATTTATTTTTTCTCTAAATGAAAGAATTTAACTTTATCTATACTCAAGGAACAGGTTTTGGAACTGGAGCTGTTATAATAACATACAATGCGACATCGACAAGGACATGTGTCAAACATTGAACAGTGATTGAACATTGAACATGAGTGTGACAGTTCAGGAAGGCGCTCCTAAATGCTAAAGATTTCAAGTAGGTACCAGAAAATCTGAAGATTTTTAGGGAACTTGCACTGTTCTTTATTATATTCATCACATGACGTGATTCGTGACATGTCGTTACACTTTTTTGTGCGTGCAGCCGGTGTTCATCCATTTATAAGCCATTATCACGTCAAAAAGTTTTGTTGTTTTATTAATCTAAATTCTATCTAAATTGTTTAGTATAGTGCATTTCTCAAATAATGCGCAGAAATTAAAACTAAGTAGTACCTAGGTACAACTGAATTTCTAGATAAGCAATAACACACAACAGAATTATGCTTATATTTCCAAGTATGTTTGAGAATAAGTATTTTTAAATCCTACTTACGTAATGTCAGAATTTACAACATAAGAAACAAACGAATGTTGCTATTTTGAACGCTTTTCAATTTCCAAATAAATGAAACTTTACCATAACTTAACCAAAAAGAACTAATTACCAAATCTTGAACAACTTTTTGAAAAAGCAGAACAAAGTATGATCTACTGTCTCATGTATACCCATTTGACTGCAGTTTGGTTAAAACAGTCCCAATCTAGTTGAACTGTTTTTATTTAAGCATTCCTTCTATTGAAATAATTATCCTGTAACTATGGCCAAAACTTAAAAGAAAAGGAAACAATTTAAACATCCTTTTTCTACACGATCAATACGGTACTATCATATACAGAACATAATTATTAGAAAAAAATGGTTACCAAATATTCTATTTATTGAGCCATTGTATTTATTTCAATGATATGTTTTATTTAAGTTTGTATTTTATTTGTTAATCCCCAACTTCCAACCAGAAGCCCAAGCATGAACTTTGACAGCTTTGTAATCGTATCACATCGTCAAAGTTTCTATGATATGATAACTAAGCAGCGCCCCTATTGGATGTAAGGATAAACTGGTTCCTTACATACAAAATTTAGCGTTGTCAATACGATTACAGATCTGTCAAAGTTCGTGCTTGGGCCTCAGTTACAAATGAAAAGACAGAAGAACTGGGGATACAAATACGTCGTTTAAAAAAACGGCGGGCGTTAGTTCCAATTTTCGACACATTCATAAAGATCCATGCCAAGATACTTGTCGCTCTGTATAGATAACAGTGCCCGTGTTGTTCCATCGTGGAACTGGTTTCATAGAACTGTTCCGATAATAACGTCTCATTAAACACCTAGCCGTTCCGCGCATGAGTGAAGATCGCTTGACATTGACAGTTAACGTACCGCTGTCTTCGTAGACGAATGTGGAGTTGTGAACAAAATTATCTTATTTTATGTAATTCATACTTTAAATTGAGCTTATATCCTAAGAAGTGAATAACTTACATAATGAATACTGATGACAATCGTGTAGAAGGCTGGAAATATTTAAACAAGCAGTTTTTTGGCGATGGTTCGTATGCTTTTCCACCTTAGTAAAAAGTACTATATAATAATAAATTATTCGCAATAGTTTTAATCTTAAGCACGAGGTCATAAATCGTCAATCCTTAGATTTCGCCTATGACATTTTCATTATTATTCAATGATTTATATAGTAGGTTTGATAGCATGTATTTCGGATTACGATGTAGGTACTAACATTTTACGTATTCCATAAAGCAAGCAATTAGATAATCTTGATTGAAAATATTGTTCTAAAAGTATTAGGATCTTATTTAATTACGCATTTAAAGCTAGGTATTCAATAATATTTTTATGATAATTACTTAGACTTATCTTTTGAGATAATTGTACAATATTTTCTATACTCTTTGGTGTGCTAGCAAGCTAAAGTTCAAATAAACATGATAGTGTAGTTATTGTAACAATATTTCCAAGACTGTTTTGACAATATAATACTTTAAACATAACATACATTTTGGATATTAGAATCCTACTTCCTACTAATAATATATAAATGAGAAAGTTTGTTAAAATTATAAATGTTTGTCACTCAATCATGCAAAAACTACTGAATGGATTTGGATGAAATTTGGTATTCATATAATTTATGACCTGGATTGAAACTTTTTATCCCTGTAAATTTTTAGGTTCCTGTGGCATGCTTGAAAACCAAAGTTAATGTGGATGAAGTCGCAGGCGGCTGCTGATTATTATGTATTTGAAAATAACTTAAAATCCTGACCAAATGGCACAGAAATAACAATTCATATTGTCAATATCATGTGTATTAAGTCTAATCCTGTGTATGTAAACATTAAAGAAATATGATAATTAATAACCTTTATTGAAATGCCAAACGGATGTAAAAGAACTTTCTACAATTTTTTGATCATGCACTCGTATCATGCTGTTTGTTGTTAATTAATAGTCTGCAAGTTACTATGATAATTGATTTATTTGTCATGCATGAGCTATATTTATCTTGGTATAAAGTTTTTATTGTTTTCTCAACATTATCACAATGTTTTTTCTAACTACTGGTGATGGAAATTTTGTATGATTCTGTTTGATTCTATAGTGCTTAGTCTATAAGTACATGGCAAAGTTTTTATGTGCCTAATGAAACACAAAGATGTTTTTTTAAATAATATGTAGTTTGAAGTCACTTTTTGTCTCTTCTACTACTACCCTTCCAGCTATATAATTAAGCATGGAAAAAGTATGTTAAGGGAATAAAGGTGAATAAATAACAATTGTCTGACCAAAAGCAAAGTGAGCAGGGCAGGACCACCCTTATTAAATTTGCAACCATTGAACCTGCAAAGCAAGTGCATGGTTAATAAACTTTTAGTGATAAGAGACCATTTGTCAAAATTTCTGTCTTGCTCCGGACCACCAAGGCCCTCCCACCTAGAACCTCTAGCTGTTTGCTAATAAATAAATATACTTGCACGTTCTTACTGAAATATTTTTTCAAATAGCCCCAAGGATCACTTGTTTGCTTCCAGGGAGGGATTTTTCTTGTATTTCTACTCTTGTTCATCTATTGAATTAATTAAAATAATTCTCTATATTTTGAAAAACAATGCTTGTCAAATAAGTACCATTTACTTATATTGTATTTACAGCAATATAAATTTATACCATTTCATAATAATATTTTTTTTTTCAGGTGAACGAGCAAACTACGTGAACATCCCTCATGTTATTGCTATGGTTGGTCTCCCTGCTCGGGGGAAGACCTACATTTCGAAGAAACTTTCGCGATATCTAAATTGGATAGGAATCAATACTAGGGGTAAGTTTTATAAATATCTACTTATTGGTGTTGATTCTGGTGTGAGTTTCTAAACTTAAAACTAAATTTAACATCAGTCTCTGCTGTTCTGTATAGAGAATAACAAGGATACACTGTTGTCAAATTTAACTTTAGGTTTAGAGAATCATACCAGAATCGACACCATTATCTCATTAAAAATGTCGTTCTCAATATTTACAAACAAAAAAATTTCATTGTGAGTAATATACTAATTAAGCCTGCTCATTTATTTTGTGGTAAGCATATCAGTGCAACTTAGTTGAAGAAGTTGGCAGTCTGCCACTTTTAAGTTTTATTTTTTATATATGATTTCAATAATGCGAAGAAACCTTTTAAACTATATACCTATGTTTATATGATATGAAATGCAATTCATTTTCTACTTAAAATAGCTTGACTGTAGCGCTTCCTATCAGCTAGACTGGTAAATACAGTTATCTTAATTTTTGCACAAACTTAAATGCTATAAGAACCATCTACGTCTACAAAGTAGAAACCTATAAGTCATTCTCAAGCTATGACTTGACAAAGGGAAAAAAGTGTTTCATATTTACATACATATAAAGATAGATGTTTAATGTTACATGTGATCGCTCAGTATTTAACCTGGGCGAATACAGGCGGCACGCCACGACTGCTTACACCAGCCATGAGTTCTTCCGCGCGGACAACAAGGAAGCCATGGCCATCCGGCAGCAGTGCGCTCTCGACGCGTTGCACGACGTCTGCGAGTGGCTCGTCAAAGGAGGAGAAGTCGCTGTGAGTACAATGCCACTATACGTCGTTAGCCCGTATTCAGTACCCTTAGTACGAGTTCGAGCTCACGAAAACTATCATAGTTTTCGTAATTGTAAATTACGTTTCTATGTCCATTTTGGTGAAAAGTAACCAAATATACTTAAAATTTAAGAAGACGCAAATGATTTAATGATAGAATTTAAACTCTGTTTATTTGTATTGAAACGAAAACAATAAAATCAGTACCCTTAATACTAGTGCCACCTCACGAAAACTATCATAGTTTTCGTAATTGTAAAACTTGTACTAAGGGTACAGGTCCACCAAAGCCATCACGGTAGAAAGCCGCTTATCCGAATAATTTGGGACCGAAGTCGATTCGGAGAATCGGACATAGACTGATAATAAAGAAAAACGAACTGTCACGCATAGAATAAACCTTATTAAGTTTAATAAACACTTACTTACTTACTTACTGCTGTGGCGCAACGATCCGAAGTGGATCTTGGCCTCCGACACAAGATGACGCCATGCTCTGCGATCCCGGGCTAGGTCTCGCCAGCCGTCGGCACCCAAAGACTGCAAGTCCCTATGCACTTCGTCGCTCCAGCGGTATCTGGGACGTCCAACGGGCCGTCGTCCTATCGGTTGCCCCAAATACGCCCGTTTAATAAACACAGTTATACAATACTTAATACAATAATAGAGGTACATATTTTATGTAGTAGCAAAAAAAACCACGCGCCGCAAAATATGTAGTTGTAGTGTCTTGCCTTGCCTCTAGCTTTCAACTATAACAGTTGAAACTCCAGCGAGTTCCAACTTGTTACAACAAAACAAAACAAAAATAACTACGTTTTAATTTTTTATATTACGCTTAGAACGCTTACGCTTATAATAATTGGCGATTCGGTTAATCAGCGTTCGGATAATCGGCGTACTAATGTACTTGATTCGGGCACCCGAAAAGGGTTACCAGATGATAAAATTAAAAGTCCAGAGAAAAGGCTTGATTTCCATTGATAAATCCTGAGATTTTTTACAGTTTGAGAATTTTCTCTCAAACCGTACTTAACAATTTAAAAAGTCGTAATATTATCGTTTATACTCTGCTTATACTTTTAAATCAATATAATTTGAAGAGCTTAACATGTACAACATGTACAACAACATGCTTAACATTATATGAATCCATAATTAAAGAAAAACCTTACTTAAAATGTATCTTCACATATTAAGTAGGATAAATGATGATAAAGTACTGATGTTAATTGTGCAATTATTAGCAATAGAAGATTATTTTTAGTTTGTTTAACTCTTTATTAAAGAGATCTTTAAAACGTAAGCTGTATTTTATTGGAAATTCAAAAAATCCTGAGATTTCATGAGATTTGCCAAATCCAGCCGCAATCCTGAGAAGAGTCCAAAAATCCTGAAATCTCAGGACAAATCCAGAGATATGGTAACACTACACCCGAAGCAATATTTACACGGGTTGAAAGACGGTGTTGGTTAAACAAAAGGAAATCTGCCCGAATACGGGCGTACTCGATCCCGTTTATTTACACTAAGTCGTTTACCCGAATTCCATTGGCACTCCTATTCGGGCTTACGACCAAGTCTAATCGCGCCAGAACTAACTTAACTTTTAAGTTTGACTTAAGTTGGTGGTGTAACTTTTTCGCGATTACAAAGAATGAGAAATGACTAAATAAAGCAATTAATTTAATTAACATGCTAAATGCAAACCAACACAAACATTTGTAAATTAATGTATGGTTATTAATAGGCTTGGAATTTTTTGTTTATCCTTTCCCAAGCATATCTTTTTATTAATTAATAATGAGGGTGTGATAGTTTACTTGTTATTGGCAATTTAATTAGAAAAAGATTATATCAAAAGTTTTTTTAAGTAAGTGAACGATTTAATTGCAGCAAAATACAAATTAATGACACCATAATTTGAGTTAAAGTTACCCTAACCTACGCTTCGTGACCTTGCTCCGAATTGATTAGCTTTCAGTGGTTAATCAATTATCAATTAGTAACAATATTTCATGTAAAGATCCAATGATGCCAGACTATACAGGGCCTCCCACGGCATCATCGAACAGAGGGAAAGTATATTAAAGATAGGATATTTTACTGAAAGAAGACAACACTTTATTTTTCATGTTTCATAGAACTGCATTCACAGATTTTTTTTTAAATCGCCTGCTACAACCAGCATTCAAACCCGTGAAATGTGAAAAAAACATGACGTAAAATTAAAAAAAAATCTAAATTCAATATCGTTTATTCAGTCTAGGCTGTTACAAGCACTTGTGAATGTCAAAAAGCTACGCCATCGGTTCGCAAATCTACGGCGGGAGACCTTTTTCTGGTTCTCTTTCTCACCTTTGGGCCTGCAGCGATTACAAGGGGGCGTTATCGGCCACGTTGGGAAAGGTTGATTTAAAGCATTCTCTTGGGGATTGCGTGGCGTGGTCTTATTAGCCATAGCCAGTTAGGTAACATATTCATGTCCTCATTTGCACAATCAATAATAGGGATAGCAACTAACTTTTTCTGCTCCATATATCACGTAGATTATCAAAAAGTATTGGACAAGCATTTTTTTCTTTATTCACATAATCTTAATATTACAGAAATATGAGGGATTTGTAATTTCGCATGACGTCACTCTTAAAATAAGTATAATGTATGAGTATCTGTGATGGTATGTGGAAACCTGTTTGACCAAATGAATAAATAGTACAGTACGCCTAGCACGAACCATTATCGAATTCGAATAGTTTGCAAACCGAAATGTCAATGTCAAATTTTATATGGAAACTTGAACAGCAGCGGCGCAAAATACGTAACGAGAACTAAAATCAGTACACATTTGACAATGATATTTCGGATTCGCAAACGATACGAATTCGATATTGGTTCGTGCTAGGGGTACTGTTGCATACTTGCGCTGATATTGGTGTCAATTCTGGCGTGATTCTTTAAACTTAAAACTAAATTTAAGGTCAGTCTCACCTTTTCATTCTGTATAGAGAAGGACAAGGATGCACTGTTGTCTAATTTAAGTTTAGCTTTAGAGAATCATGCCAGAATCGACATCATTATCGACCTAGCTAAATGTTTTTAAACACACGCGATCTTATCACATTTTTCATTGATTTTATTACTTTATTAATATTGATAAACACTTCAGTTAATACTGTTTTTTTTTTTGAGATTTCACTTAAGATTTTCTTTCACAAGTCTATAAGTTGTCACATTGTCAACAAAGTTCCTTTGTTATGGTCTAGCACCATTGAGAATTGCACTGATCTTAATTACTCCTTGCGTCGATGATACACCATAAGTCACATCTTCGTACAATTTTTACTTAGGAGTGACACCACGAGCCCCCGTTTCTAAATTCGACGCGCTTTATCATTGTCAGTTTTTGGTCTATTGACAAAAGAAAATATAAGTGGCCATTATTTTTTTTGTTGGACCAGGCAGCGGACGGGACTCGAACCCACACCCTTCGCAATCCGGGCGAATGCACTGACCAATTATGCTACCACGGCCCTCATGGCCGCGTCGAAATTTTCCTAGCCTTAAGCTGCAAGGCAGCGCCATCTCTTCGCATTGTAGGTAACCCACAATGAAAATTGAATACTTTTTCAAGTATTAAACATTTGAAAGAAGATATAGCAATAATAGTTATGTTTTTATTTATTTTTAAGCATTTAAGCATTTTTTTTTTCTAGTAAAACTTTTCTTTAGTGTTTTTTTTGTTTGAGATTTCACTTAGGATTGTTCTTCACAAGTCAATAAGTTGTCACATTATCAACAAAGTTCTTTTGTTATGGTCTAGCACCATTGAGAATTGCACTGCTCTTAAATACTCCTTGCGTGGATGATACTCCATAAAAGTCACATCTTCGTACAATTTTTACTTAGGAGTGACACCACGAGCCCCCGTTTCTAATTTCGACGCGCTTTATCATTGTCAGTTTTTGGTCTATTGACAAAAGAAAATATAAGTGGCCATTTTTTTTTTGTAATCTAACTAACGGACTCGAATTACGTTTCATTTACCCCTAACGTATTGATCAAATGCGTCTGAATCATCGAATTCGAATAGTTGAATTCGATCTAGATATAGTACGTCAAATGTGTACTGATTTTTAGTTCTCTTTACGTCCGTTGTGGCGTTGTTCAAGTTTTCATACAAAATTTGACATTGACATTTCCCACTCGCAAACTATTCGAATTTGATATTGGTTCGTGCTAAGGTTACTGTAACCATAGATGTATAATAATAGAGTAGGGGAGATATAGACTACTACAAGTGGAAGTGTCCCTCTAATAGAAAGAGAAAGAAAATGAGAGACCGCTAGCTTTCTCTCTGTAATCGCGCATGCGCATTGGCAACCGTGAGCATTTTACTATTACGATGTGATGCTTGGACCAACTATTGGACAGACGACTGCGCATGCGTCACAAGAGAGAGAGATGGCTAGCGGTCTCTCGTCTCCTTTCTCTTTCTACTAGACGGACACTTAGAGCCGCCTTCCCCACTCTATTCTTATACCTCTATGACTGTAACTGTATGTAGGAATCTGAACGTGTCGTCATCATTATGGGTGTATTCCGAAATATATATCAGTATACTGGCCAGTGGTAATGACGTCATATTGTACTGGTAGTATGCTACCATATTTTAACCGGGAAAACGGATATGACGTATGACCGAGCGTGCGTGAGATGCATTCGAATTTTATTTCTTTTTTATTTAAAGAACATTAATGGCTTCCCAACAAAAAGAATTCCTTTTAATTGATGAGGTGAATAAAAAATCTTCTTTATTCGCACTATCTCTTATCTATTAGACAAGTCCGTCCGTCTGTGGTGCTGTTTCAGCGGCCAAACCGTAAGAGATAGATAAAGAGAATATTTAAGTTATAAGTTAAGAATAGTCTGATAAGACTACAAACCGGATTTGAGTAACGTAGCGCTTCCGGTTTTCGAGAAATCACGAATTTCAAACGAAACCACACAAAATCTCCGAAGTTCTCAATTAATTAAATAGATTTTTTTTTTAAATCAGGTTTTGGTGAACATTTGGTTCACTGGTTTGCTAGTTTTTAATATTTCATCGATTTATGACGTCAGTGCACTGGCCAATATATTTCGGAACAATTCACCAGTATAGCGTCGATTCATGACGTCATTAGCTGGACGTCTCCCCTAAATAAAGTTATAGGGATCCCCGTATATTTTATTTGCTTTTACATTAAAGTCTAAATTTGTTTGCAGGTGTTCGACGCGACCAATTCCACGTTAGATAGGCGGCGGATGATCCGCGACATCGTTGTACATAAAATGGGCTTTAAGTTATTCTTCGTAGAGTCCATTTGCGACGATCCCAGTATCATAGAGCAGAATATTATGGTAAGTGTATCATGCTGGAAAAACTGTACGATTCGATACTATAGTTTTTGAAATCTATCAACTATTATATTATTCTTTGTATTCATCAAATTTGACATATTGTTCATCATCAGCCTATTAATGTCCCCACTGCTGGGGCACAGGCCTTCCCTATGGATGGAATAGGGAGATTGGACCATGACACACCACGCGGTCCCAGTGCGGATTGGTGGCTGCTAACGACTGCAGATGCAACCGGGACCAACGGCTTAACGTGCCTACCGAAGCACGGAGGAGCTCGAGATAGTAAATTTTTGGTCACCCATCCAATGACCGACCACTGCGAAAGTTGCTTAACTTCAACGATCGTAGCCGAACGCGCTAACCAGTTGCACCATCGAGCTCTTCCTATGTAATTATACCGTATTTTATTATTATGCCAGCTCACATTATTATATTATTCTTTGTATTCATCAAATTTCACATATTGTTAGGTACAAGTATTACGATTATATTTTTATTTTTGAAGCATACAACTGCTAGATGTTTAAATCTAAAGAAAATTTTACTAGAAATAAATCTAGGCGGACCAGGCAGCACACGGGACTCGAACCCGCACTCTCCGCTATCTTCATTATCAGTTAAGAATGTGAGTGCATCCGCCCGGATAGCGGAGGGTGCAGGTTTGAGTCCCGAACCTGCTGCCTGTTCCGCGTAGAATATAGGGGAAACTACCCAATCATTGGCACTCTTCCTATTATATTGGCACTTTGAGTTTATTGCGAAAAAATCAGGAAACAATAGATTGTAGGAATAATGTTGCCAATTTTCAAATTTCGAAACCATACTAGGTTTTTCTTTTTAATATATAACGACCTTGAATAATCTATCATCTCCTTGTTTTTTCGAATTAAACTCAAAGTGCCAATAATAGGACGAGTGCCAATGATTGGGTGGTTTCCCCTATCTAGTAAAATTTTCTCAAGTATTACGATCTAAATAAAATTCCAGTCCTTTCCTAATACGACTCGTACAAAATAACTGCAACAATAAAATTGTAAACGTCTGTGTAACAAATCTATTAGCATCTCTAGTTGCCTTGACGACTTAATTGAATGCAAAGTCACGCCTGTTCCTTTATAGAACACTCATTAAGAGCGTTTCTGAAAAATCTAGTTACGAAATCTATAGTAATAAGTTATTGAAATCTGTTTTCTTTAAACAATATGGTAATGTTGTCATTGATCATACAAAGCCGATAAATATGGACGTACTTTTTGCTTAGAACCAAAACAGTGCATAAATGTTATATGAAATCTAATGGTTGCACTGGTTTTTATTGGAACGAAATGGTGGTATGGCGGCGACCGGGAGCGGTGGGGATGAACCGGGAGCGTCTGCACTGGACCCATTCCGTATTGGGCCCATTCCGCACTGGGCCCGTTCCGTACTGGGCCCGTTCCTCACTGAGCTTTAATAGAATAGAGAGATTGGGCCATGATTCGCCACGCGGGTCCAGTGCGTATCGGTGGGTGGAATATAAATATTTATCAGTAACTTAAGTTTTTATTTGGAGTAGGTATACTTTATCACATTATGTAGACTAGTAGTTGAAAGAAAAGTAGATTACGCACCTTGCAAAAGTGATTAATTAATGCATTCGTGTTAATTAAGTGCCTCCGCATGCGCTCGGGAACCAAGATAACACTCGTGCATTAATAACTCACTTTGCGCTCGATGCAACAATCTACTATTCCAGCCTTATACTGTAGTACTATAAAGTCTTAATTAGTTTGTACCAATCATATGATCCAGCCACGGCAAAGTTTTCTCTGGAAACTAAACACATCAAGGGTGTTATAGTAATATAAGTTATTTACGGGATTGTTACCATGTACCTTGTTTTTAGCGAGTTTCCGATATTTCGGCACTGTTGCAAGCGCCATGATCACGGAGTAACTGAAGTAATTGCGGGTAGGCTGTTATTGGCAGACATATTGGTCTACCCTCCGACGAAGCCTTTTATTGCGTTCGATACTTAGATTAAAACAAAAAGGGTAGATACGGTACGCTCATACTTGCATCAAACAAAAGTAAGATTCCAATCTGGAAGACTGGATTTGGCAAAAACTGATTGAACAATTTTTTATTGCTTAAAGTTTACTTGAACCCTAAACACTCTTGGTATTTTTACGTAATAAAGTGCGCTTCAATTTAAATTTATATTTCAGGAAGTAAAAGTGAGCAGTCCTGACTACACGAACATCCAAAACATGGACAATGTCCTGAACGACTTCCTTCTCCGGATAGAGCATTACAAAGAGAGATACGATCCATTGGACGAGCGACTCGAGTCGGAGTACAGCTTCATGAAGATCTATGACACCGGGGAGAAGGTGGTGGTGCATAAACACGAAGGCCACATACAGTCCAGGATTGTTTACTACCTGATGAACATACATATAGTGCCCAGGACGATATACCTGACAAGAGTGAGTGTGCACCTTTTTTAAACCGTAGGCTAAAATACAGTTAGCCCTCTTGCAAAGGTTATAAACCTATTGCGGTTTATCTGTTAGTTATTGGGCTTAACCACATGAACCGTTATACCATCAAAGTTTTAAGATTGTACAATGCGATTCAACTAAGGATAGGACCGACTGGGCGCCATATTGTGACATCATAGCTGTCAATTCAAACCAGATAATAATAATAATAAAATTTATTTTCTTTAACATTGGTGAGTTACATTATATACTCATGATTGAAGCCATCTTTGAACCAAATAATGCCTGTGACAGGTGACTCCGATCTTCCATACCTAAAATTACAGTTTGCTTATCGATCTTTATGTTAGGACTTTATGTTAAGGGACTCACAAATGTAAGCACATATATCAAAGAATAACAAAGATAGGAAGAGTGAGCAAAAAAGTTTTCCTTTAATAAAATAATTCGGAGTAGTTCAATTACGCACACCGTGACACGAGAATTTTGTATATTAGATACCGTTTTGTTCGCCAGCTCTCCTTATGTTTTTGTGCGTGTTTGTTTAGCACTCGATGGAGGAGCTCGATGGCGCAAGCGGTTAGCGCGTTCGGCTGCGATCGTTGAAGTTAAGCAACTTTCGCAGTGGTCGGTCATCGGATGGGTGACCAAAAATTTACTATCTCGAGCTTCTCCGTGCTTCGGTAGGCACGTTAAGCCGTTGGTCCCGGCTGCATCTGCAGTCGTGAGCACACACCAATCTACACTGGGTCCGCGTGGTGAGCCATGGGCCAATCTCCCTATTCCATCCATAGGGAAGACCTGTGCCCCAGCAGTGGGGATATTAATAGGCTGATGATGGTGATTGTTTAGCACGGGGAGAGCGTGCACAACACAATGGGTCGCATCGGAGGCGACAGCGGCCTGTCCCCGCGCGGACAGCAGTACGCGGCCGCACTAGCGGACTACATTGAAACGCAGCAGATACCCGGCCTGCGCGTCTGGAGCTCCTGGATGCGCCGCGCCATACAAACCGTGCATGATGTGAAGGCCCCGCAGGAGCGCTGGAAGGCCCTCAACGAGATCGACGCGGTAACTATACCATGCCCGCTCTGCTTGTGTCTATAGGGACCGTTGCAGCGCCATACAAACCGTGCATGATGTGAAGGCCCCGCAGGAGCGCTGGAAGGCCCTCAACGAGATCGACGCGGTAACTATACCATGCCCGCTCTGCTTGTGTCTATAGGGACCGTTGCAGCGCCATACAAACCGTGCATGATGTGAAGGCCCCGCAGGAGCGCTGGAAGGCCCTCAACGAGATCGACGCGGTAACTATACCATGCCCGCTCTGCTTGTGTCTATAGGGACCGTTGCAGCGCCATACAAACCGTGCATGATGTGAAGGCCCCGCAGGAGCGCTGGAAGGCCCTCAACGAGATCGACGCGGTAACTATACCATGCCCGCTCTGCTTGTGTCTATAGGGACCGTTGCAGCGCCATACAAACCGTGCATGATGTGAAGGCCCCGCAGGAGCGCTGGAAGGCCCTCAACGAGATCGACGCGGTAACTATACCATGCCCGCTCTGCTTGTGTCTATAGGGACCGTTGCAACGCCATACAAACTGTGAATGATGTGAAGGCCCCGCAGGAGTGCTGGAAGGCCCTCAACGAGATCGACGCGGTAACTATACCATACCCGCTCTGCTTGTGTCTATAGGGACCGTTGCAGCGCCATACAAACCGTGCATGATGTGAAGGCCCCGCAGGAGCGCTGGAAGGCCCTCAACGAGATCGACGCGGTAACTATACCATACCCGCTCTGCTTGTGTCTATAGGGACCGTTGCAGCGCCATACAAACCGTGCATGATGTGAAGGCCCCGCAGGAGCGCTGGAAGGCCCTCAACGAGATCGACGCGGTAACTATACCATACCCGCTCTGCTTGTGTCTATAGGGACCGTTGCAGCGCCATACAAACCGTGCATGATGTGAAGGCCCCGCAGGAGCGCTGGAAGGCCCTCAACGAGATCGACGCGGTAACTATACCATACCCGCTCTGCTTGTGTCTATAGGGACCGTTGCAGCGCCATACAAACCGTGCATGATGTGAAGGCCCCGCAGGAGCGCTGGAAGGCCCTCAACGAGATCGACGCGGTAACTATACCATACCCGCTCTGCTTGTGTCTATAGGGACCGTTGCCGCGCCATACAAACTGAATGATGTGAAGGCCTCGAAGGAGCGCTGGAAGGCCCTCAACGAGATCGACGCGGTAACTATACCATACCCGCTCTGCTTGTGTCTATAGGGACCGTTGCCGCGCCATACAAACCGTTGATGTCATGAAGGCTCCGCAGGAGCGCTGGAAGGCCCTCAACCTTGTAGGTGTACCTTCAAGTTAAGACCATAACAAGCCTTATCTAAAAATAATTGAAAGAGTCGGTGCGGAATCTGTATTTGATTCTTTACCGAGTGTACGTAATTAAATGAGTGCTTCCTTCTCTTCAAGTCATCTTGGTACAGCTTCGTTACCAAGCGGATACACAGCTTTCTTTACCGAGTGCTTCCGAATGCTGTCGACACATTTGACTTACCCGTCACGTCACTCGCGCAAAACAAAACCGTAGCAAACAAAACGAAACGATACCGTACCGACCCGGTAACGAAGGCGCCTTACAAGAGTTTAATTTATGAGAATAATTAGTTCTGTATATTAAGTTACAAGACAGCAATAAAAAATAGAAAACACAATTTATATATTACAACTGCAGTCAAAAATTCTATTAAATAAAATAAACCCTATTTAACGGTCAGTATTAATAATTAATCGATTTTCAATTAAAAGATAACTTTGTTCTAGTTACGTTTCTCAACAACATTAAAAATTAATTTAAATTAAATAAAAAAATAACATCTTGACAACTGATCTCTAGGATGCCTATCCCTTACTAAAAAATTATAAACAGAGTTACAATTCTACTCCCAAACTTCAAAGCCATACCTCCTCCCACCAGGGCATCTGCGAAGAGATGACATACGCGGAGATCCAAGAAAAGTACCCCTCAGACTTCAACGCGCGCGACGCCAACAAATTCGCCTACCGCTATCCTCGCGGGGAGAGCTACGAGGATCTGGTGGCGCGGCTGGAGCCCGTCATCATGGAGCTGGAGCGGCAGGGGAATGTGCTGGTGGTCTCCCACCAGGCCGTCATGAGGTGCCTGCTGGCATACTTCCTGGATAAGTCTGCAGGTATGGTGTTTTTCAGCTCTTTAATTGAAAAAAAAGGAGTGTGCTTATGACCACACGACTGAAGTGAAACTGCTTTAGCTCCGTCTGTATGCACAATATATACATAATTTGTAACATAATTATTTGTGTTAAGCGCCATCTATTGAAACTCATAAGAACTAGTACATAAAGAAAGAGTTGACGGCTCAATATAGCGTGCTTTTCTTATTACTTTTAAGCGTTGTCTTTTAAAGACAAGAACTCCCCTCCTAGCACAATCTCCCATCAATCAAGACGCCCCCTGACGGCGATTTGTGCCACCATCATTACGTTTGTTACAATATGTACATATACATATTTCATTTACTAGCTATAAGAGAAAGAGAGAAAGAAAATGTGCGGGCGCACTGCTTTCTCTTGCTTATATCCCCCACTCAACTCCCGTTCGCCTCGCCCGAACACACTTTTCGTAACGCATTCGCCAGCTTACCCCCCAAGTCGAGCGTGCGTAAAGAAGTTTCACTTCAAAAATCTTTTGTAAAAAAGTGTCTCTTTTGTAGGCTGACAATAAATTACTACAGTAATTTTCTTTTCACATGATTGATCTTCCTCGTAATTTAATTTTCTCGTAATCACATATTAATAATAATTACGGTTTGTTCCAGAGGAACTGCCGTACCTCCACGTGCCGCTCCATACAGTGATCAAACTGACGCCCGTCGCATACGGGTGCCGCGAGGAACACATCAAGCTGTCCGTCGGCGCCGTCGATACGCACCGCTCCAAACCAGCTGTGAGCTTTATTGATTACACATAAGGTCTATTTTAGCATAACACAGTCATAACATACACCAATCTCCCGCGAGGAACACATCAAGCTGTCCGTCGGCGCCGTCGTTACGCACCGTGCCAAGCCTGCTGTGAGCTTAATTTCTTGCGCATAAAGTCTATTTTAGCATGACACAAACATAACATACACAACTGTCCTGCGAGGAACACATCAAGATGTCCGTCGGCGTCGTCAATACGCACTGCTCCAATCCCGCTGTGAGCTTTATTTCTTACGCATAAAGTCTATTTTAGCATGAAACAATCATAACATACACAACTGTGCTGCGAGGAACACATCAAGATGTCCGTCGGCGCCGTCAATACGCACCGCGCCAAGCCCGCTATGAGCTTTATTTCTTACACATAAAGTCTATTTTAGCATGACACAGTCCATAATATACACAACTATCCCGCGAGGAATAAATCAAGCTGTCAGTCGGCGCGTCGATACGCACCGCGCCAAGCCCGCTGTGAGCTTTATTTCTTACACATAAAGTCTATTTTAGCATGACACAATCCATAACATACACGACTATCCCGCGAGGAACACATCAAGCTGTCCGTCGGCGCCGTCGAGTTTATCTACATCCTTGATATGAATCCTCTATAAAAATGATTCAGGAACCATGGGGCGTTCGATGAACTTAAAATTCATGAAAAGTTTCGGCGCTTTGATAGTGAAACGCGCGTGATTGACAACGTTCTTTTTTTAAATTCATAATTTACCACGCATCGACATCGAGCAATGGAAATTGTGGCTGTTTGATGAGTGAGCCTTTGGCCTAAGGGATTTATGAAGTGAAAGAGTGCTATTATGAAATATTAGTCCAACAATAAAAAAAAAAAACATTGTAACACCCGAAAGGGATAAAACGGTAAATTAATTTAATGCTTCATTAAGTCACGTGTATTATATTGTTATCACAAAGAAAGTGACACCAACTTGAGTCAAACTTAAAAATTTAATTGACTTCTCTGTGTACGGCCGTAATGGTCCAAACTCCTCGCTTACTCACTCGTCTATTTTAGCAACACACAAATTATATATATCAAATTACAAACAACCCTCTGTGACCAAAAAAATCCAATGTATCGGAAGGTCCATTAAAATATACCGACCTATGTTTATAAGGTTTGGTTGTGATTTAACTGCATCCGTAGAAAACCAGCTCAACATAATTATGGTATTAAAGGCCGCTAAAACTTGTTTCCTAACTACAGCTTTACTTCAATACTAACGCGGCGCGCACATAACAAAATACTTTGACAAATTAAATATCTGCGAATGAATTCGGCTATCCATTCATTGGGTAAGATTATGTTAAACGGAAATCCCAACCAACGAGGTAGGCGTGTTGATCGCAGTTTTTTTCGCCCTGCCCACATGATCGCAGTTTTCGTGGAACCACTTTTTAGCGCAGTTCTTGTTCTATATTATTACTAATTCGTTGATTTATCGGCATGAATTTATTGACGGTAAAGCAACTTCGTTAAAAACTATTTTAAAAAGATACCCTAGAATACAAACTTGTAAACAGTGTACTGTAATATTTATATCACAAGACTTCAGCCCCTAGCATGAGCACCGCGATATATGATATATAACGCGTTTTTATCACGCTTAATTGTCAAATTACTATGGAAATTGACAGTTAGACGCGATAAAAAACGTGATATAATGTAAATAGTAGTGCTCATACTACAGGGACAGGTATAATATTTGACGACCTCTGTGGCCGAGTAGTTTGTACGCCGGGTTTCATGGTGTCGCCAACTCGAGAGGTCCCGGGTTCGAATCCCGGTGGGGGCAGATGTTTGTGTGATGAATACGAGCATTTGTACTCCAGTCATGGATGTTTAATATGTATTTCTATATAAATATACTTATATATGTACTGTATATGTATTCTATCCGTTACCCTAGCATCCCATAACACAAGCCTTACAGTGCTTACTTTGGGGCTAGGCTAATTGGTGTGAGTGTTGGAAATATTTATTTATTTAACTTAGCTTCTTGATTATAAGAGGTCGGTTAAGCTCTAGCAATGATTATGGTTAACAGAAGCAAAATTACTCTTCGGGTTAAGACATAAGGTAGATTATAACGCAGCATATTTTTTGTTAAATTTACCCTGTTCTAAATTATATTAAATCTATTATTTGGGCCAAATTGCAGCAAATTTGCTAAATTTTGATTCAACTAATAATAAATTTTTAGTAGAAAAGGCACACGTTACTCGAACCAGCACTCTGCGCTGTCCGGGCGGTTGCACTGACTTTAACCCATAGAAGAATGTCAAAACGGTAATTTCAATTTGGCATTATTCTATGGGCTAAATCTAGTTCTTTGTTGAATTTCGATTTAGCTAAATTGCTTCAAATTGACCCAAATAGCTTTAACGTCGTTTTGATAATTACTGTTATTAATTAGTATTTTCTATGCTTATACTATTTCGATCAACACTATGGGGAAAAACGTGTGTACTTATGACCACACGACTGAAGTGGAACTTCTTTAGCTCCATCTATATGTATGTTTATATATCTGTGTGTACATATATATACATATATTTCATTTACTAGCTGTAAGAGAAAGAAAGAAAGAAAATGTGCGCGCGCACTGCTTTCTCTTGCTTATGTCCCCCACTCAACTCCCGTTCGCCTCGCCTGATCACAATTTTCTTAACGCGTTCGCCAGCTTACTCCCCAAGTCGAGTGTGCGTAAAGAAGTTTCACTTCAAAAAGCAATTAATTGAGACATTTTATGATCTGTTTTCGATGTCGAACTTTAAGAACACACGCTGAAATGTAGTTTTTGATCGGTGCTCACTTTGGTCCGTGACAGGAGGGCGAGGATGACGACACCGCGGATGTGACGTACGCAAAGAGTGAAGTGACACCGGCATGAACAATAGACAAAGTAGAGTAGCTTACGATGCGTTTGCAAAACAGTTTTTTACGCAACTATTTCCCTTTATTCTAAAAATGTAACCCACATTTCCCAAGATGTTTATAAAACATCTTTCATCTAAAAACAGATTCTTATGTATTCGATTAGAAAAGCATGCACAATACGTCATTAAAGTCCCTATCAGGGTTGGCTAGAATTAAATGATGTATTGCCATAACTTAAAATAACTCTTAAATAAAAAAAATGCGATAATAGTACATTACGAAAAAAACTGTAAGATATACAGGCTGTTACAAAAATACAAATAAATGTTTAAGAGCGTTGAAGTACATCATATAAGGAGTCTTCTCTAATTTTCTTAAAATATTTGCATGAAGTTTTAACTTTTTGCAAAAACAGTTAATGATCCTCGAACTAGTGACGTGTCTTAAAATGATCGATATTTTTAGTAATCATTAAAAATAACTGTTTTTATAAAAAGTTAAAATTTCATGCAAAATTTTTAAGAAAATTAGAGGAGACTCCTTATATGATGTACTTCAACGCCCTTCAAGCTTTATTTGTATTTTTGTAACACCTTGTACATAAATGTCAAACTTACAGTATCCAATAAAATATATATTTTAATTTCTACTAATTACTACCTAACATCTTTTTAAGTTTAACATCAGGTTTTATTTTAAAGGAAATATATGAGTAAAATCCTGCAAGATTGCATGAACGTGTCATATACAATTTATCGTAAAAAAACTATCATAAGTCATTGCTTGATAGTTTCGGCATATATGATAGCGTCAGACTGAGGCCTTGGAAAATATTTTTGCACCATTAAGTGCTCCCACACATAACTGCGAATTCGCATCGCATCGTAAATATCTGCGAGCTCGCACGAATGCACCGCAAGAACTTCCGATCTAATTCCCATCGCACATTCCTGAGATGACACCATTTGAGTCCCCTCTGAGACTTCCCTTGTACGATCGTTTTTTGTAGACATGGTGATAAATAACTCGAAAGCTCTTCAAATAAAGATATGCTTATTTTAAAATAATAAAAAAAAACCTCTGTTGTCAAACCATAGTATATTCGAATTTTTTTGTTTTGAAATTTCTTTATCGTCAATTTTAATTTTACAGTATTTTTATCGATATTAAACATAAATCTACTACTTACAACTTTAGTAGGCTTTATCAGGCCCCCGCTGAAAAGTTTATAACAGTGAAGCATAAAAAACTTATAACAACGTAACTTCGCAATCTAACACATCACATCACTATTGATCTAGTCTTGAGCATAGTTAGAAAGGGATGTCGCTATATATAGCACATTGCGGCATCTCTTTCTAACTGTACTTAAGTAAAGATCAACACTTGGTTGTCATTCTGTAATACGAGCCTTAAACAATTTGTGTAGTAAATGCATTTTAAGTATATTAATGCAAATCACTTGATGATGATATTGCTTTATTCATACGAGGATAAATTGTAAAATTAAACTGGCTGCTTATGTATAAAGTGATCAGATGACATTAAGCGAAATGAGCTCTCCTTCCTCCCGCGCTTCTAGTCCGTAAACGCGACAGAAAGGTAACCGTGCGAGTGTTGTATGTCGCTAGACTGATCTTGCGCTTGCGCATCGTGATTTATGATTTTACCGGTAATGGTGTCGATTCTGGCATGATACTCTAAACTTAAAACTAAATTTAACATCAGTATTTTCTTTTCATTCTGTATGCAGAATGACAAGGATACACTATTGTCAAATTTAAGTTTAGGTTTAGAGAATCATGTCAGAATCGACACCATTGCCGGGCGGTGAAAAGAATATATAGTGATGGGGTAAGCGGCACCTGCCGTATCTGTCGATGTAATGGAGATCGGAAATCGTAGTGTTGCAAATATTTAATATGAGAGGATCTGTGGACTGTTTATTATTTCTGTTAAAATGTTTTGTTAATATAATAATATAATTTTAAAGTGAAGAAATATTTAATTTTAGAATCGAGTTTGTTAAGGTTGGTTTTCAAAGGCGTATACCTAATATCTTTAACGTTTTATTTTGAATAATTTCTAATAGGTTGTGATTAGTCATACATGTGCTGCTCCACGCTGGGCAGGCGTATGTGATGGAAGGTCTTACGAGCACGTATACTTTTAATCAAGTTTTCGACTTAGTTTATTTTTGTGGTTAAAAATAGAACTTAATGCACCAAGGGCTTGAGCACCTTTGACACGCTAGTTGGCTATGTGGCAGGACCAGTTCAGTTTATTGTCCATTTCCCAGATATTTAACGAATGGAATTAATAGAATGAGTAACTATTTTATGTGTTCTATTTAATAAAGTATGACTGTAATAGGTCAATTGAAAGTTCTAGTTGATTCACAATTAGTTCGAGGCATTTTCGAGTAAAATTGATACTATCGGGATTCATAATCATAATACATAGACGAACCCAAAATCTTCTTTTTCATCGATAGCTTTTTAACAGTAACAGCTTAGCAACAATCTTTTTGCGATCTTTGTCACTATTACCACAGAATATATACACTACGCGAAAAGAAGCGACACTTAAGCATGTGTGCTCGTAAAATCGCCCGCGGCTATGTGTGGGTGTCTGGAGGGGCGCGGGGGCGTTGCGCGGCGCGCGGGACGTGGAGAGGGCAGTCACCGACTGCCGAGACCGAAGGGATGGCAGTAGCGAAATAGTAAAATAATAGCGTTGCACTACATTGCACGCACAGACTGACTACGCTACGCAATGTTATTATTATTTAGATAATAATAAGAATTATAAAACGAATCGAAAAAGGAGAAAATATATAAAAGTTAGCAATTTGTTATAGTACCTACATTAAATGATTAAAAATTGATTATAAAATCAAACCTATCCTTCATTATTTACCCCAGTATTCTTGAATCAGTTTACATTTAATAACTTACTATGCATAAATATTCATTGGCACAAGTCTAAATTCCAAGTTCAACCCTAGCGCATACACGCTCCTGCTCAAGGTCACTGACGCTGGAACTCTCACGTACAGGGAGTGTCACCGCTGTGCTATTACTAAAATACGTCTAATACGGCTGACTACCGTTGAAGGTATGGTCACCCTAACCAAATCTTTACCGCAATTCGCATCGCAAGCTCCTGCGTGCGATGTAGTATCGCATAGCAGTTTTGTGTGGGAGCCCTAAACTTCATTATTAAAGCTGTTTCATAACAACTTAATAACTGTTATTTTTCAGAATACGTTAAATTGTTTTGTTTAAATTATTGTTTTAAAAATCCTTTTTTTTTTACTATTATTTATTACCAGCACAAAAAGTGATACGCAATAAGTCGATCTTATTTTACCTACCTTTTATATTTCCCTGGATTAAGAGGAAACAAATGTTACCTCTCATTAAATTGATTTGAAACAGCTGTATATTCGAGACATACGTTTAAATATGGTTATTTTTTTTATTACAAATAAGCTCTCTTTGTGTAGTTATGTACGGTGTCATTTAGAATTTAATTACATTAACGACATAATTATCTATCCAAACTTGATGTATCTATACAATACATTAAGTTTGGATAAATACTTTTACTAAAACTCAATGCCGCCATTGTAAAATCACTCGCTTAAATCAAAATCACATAGAGAATGTCGCTAATATACTGGATGATATTTTTTCGGAATGAATTAAATCATTTTATTTTTAAAAGGAGGTTTTTTTTTCAAGAAAGTTAATTTTTATTGCAGAATAAAAAGAATCACCCGGTATAATAAAAAGCACGACCATTTTAAAATAAGCATTTAAGTACTTCCTGTAGCTCGATCACTATAACTAGTATGTTCTTGTAAATAATACTAATTGCATAGTAATACATTCATCACCAACTGTCGCATTTTCATACCACACCCTGTACAATACAGCTAAAGAAGCTGGTGGTCTGCTAAAATGTCTGCTCAAAATAACTTTTAATGCTGCACAATTTATTAAATACTCAAATTATTGCACTGTTACAATCGCCTTTTAATGTTATTGAAGTGCTAGGCCATCAATTTCTTTATTGAAGTATGCCACTACGTAATTTCTCATATTTTTTTAGCTGCATAGTAAGCTGTAAGCAAAGGCCTCAACCTGACATTAAAAAAAAATACAAAATATACGAGAAGAGAGACAAATCGAGTTAAGTTTGCTATACTTTTTCTTTCTCTGGTGGGGGGTGATCTTGTGTGACATTCGTTCGTAGTAACGCCCCATATTCATGAAACGATCGGTTGGGTTTCGGCAACTTCTAATCCCAGTGAATATCATACCAACATAATAAAATTAATACACTGCTAATGGGTGTATTCCGAAATATATACCAGTACGCTGGTCAGCGGTAATGACGTCATGATTTCGACGCCATATTGGGTGTATTCCGAAATATAAACCAGTACGCTGGCCAGTGGTAATGACGTCATGATTTCGACGCCATATTGCACTGGTGTAGTAGTAGTGTTGTCAATATGGCGTCGCAATCATGACGTCATTACAACTGGCCAGCGTACTGGTGTTTGATTCGGAATACACCCATTGACAACACTACTACTACACCAGTGCAATATGGCGTCGAAATCATGACGTCATTACAGCTGGCCAGCGTACTGGTGTATATTTCGGAATACACCTAAAACCTTATGATAAAATCAGCAATTTGATACGATAGCAAAAATATATTTGAAACCCGTGTAATATAATCTTTTGATCGTCATTGTTAATAAAAATATAGATATTAACGGGATTGTTACCATGTACCTTGTTTTTTATGAGTCTCCGATATTTCGGCAGTGTTGCAAGCGGCGCCATGATCACGGAGTCGTGTCTCACGGAGTCGTGTCTCCGTGATCATGGCGCTTGCAACAGTGCCGAAATATCGGAGACTCATAAAAAACAAGGTACATGGTAACAATCCCATTAATATCTATAATGTTAGTGACCATGAAAGTTTAAAAGAATAAAAATATCGTTCAATATAGACCTCTTTGAGAGCTCATGCGCAAGTCTCTTTCGACCGATCGTTTGTGAATACGGAGGCTTGTAATTAGTTTTTTTTTTTTTTTTGTTTGCGGTTATTGGATTGAAAGTTGTTTTGTTTTTTTGGATATTTATTTATATTATCATATAATTGTGTGTCAGAACCATACGATCTTACTGCGATTAATACGCATGTGTTTTTTATTAATATTCTTGCAAGTGTGATTAAAGCTCTTAAGGATTTAAAGAAAATATAACCAGAAAAAAATCCACGCAGACCAGGCAGCAGACGGGACTCGAA